ACGAGTGTGCTGCTATTTGTTAGCTTCCAGAAGGTGCCGGGCTCGAATTCCGTCAAGCGCTTCCTAATTTTATTTTATTTTATTTCTTTTGAACCATGAAATAGTATCTGTGAAGTGCAGACGGGAAGCGCATTGAACGAAAAATTCTGTCAGACAAATTTCAGAAAAAACAGCCGAAAACGTATCCGTTTCACATACTGTTGTCTGTACATACGTTACTGCCGCACACTTTAGTGGGAAAACGGATCGTCAAAGTATCCGGAAATGGAATCAGTAAACGGACAAAAATCCGCACTTCATCCACATTTTTTTGTCCTTTTTCGGATCAGTTTTCGGATTTTTTGCTGGCTGGGTTAATATGGAAATACCCAAATTTTATGTTGAAATTCAGCTTTGTACAAAAGTCGGGAGATTACTCATTAAGGAACTAATATAATTTGAAAACAACTACTACTTCAATAAATTAGTTTCAGTGTTTATTAAAAATCAGGGTTTAAAAGTTCGCAAATGAAAAACTTGTTTTTCATGAAGTTTTATAAATACTTTGTAAAGAACCAAAAATATTATATACATAAGGACATTGTACATATGTACATACATACATATAACCAGGGAACGGATTTTATGGAAATTGCCTTTTTATTACAACGCTTCTATCAACTTGCAATGTTGTGTGTCCAGACCACCATTTATACCATAAATATAGCAAAGGTATTTACCGCAAACCTAGTCTAGATATCAGCCTCGTCGTAGGTATCATATCAAAGACATAGAGTTAGAAAAACTCTAGAGGTAGATGTCGCACCGCCAGAAGAAGTTAAATATTGCGCCTAAAAAAATGCACTACAGCGGAAAGGCACGACACGCCATTTCTTTAAATAAAATTAGTTGCTGCTATATGTATGTATGTATGTATACATGTATACATATACTAAACGTGAGCAAACAACATTTTGCTTGCATAGTCTTCTGTTCTCTTTTCACTGCAAGTTGAATTATTTTAATATCTATTGCAAAATTTTATACAGACAAGACTAAAAAGTAGAAAATAAATAAAATAACAAGTAATTTTTAGCAAAAAAAAACCGACTTCAACTCTCATATAAAAAAAATATATATATATCTCATGATCCACTGATCGGATCTTAACCAGATTAGTATGGGACCACCTCTGAGACACTACCTTTCCGATGCAAAAAGAATTATCGAAATCGGTTGACGTGGTCCTAAGTTATGCGGTAACATACATAAAAAAAAAAGTATTCCGACGAACTGATAACCTCCTCCTTTTTTGGAAGTCGGTTAAAAAAACTTTTCATATATCACGCTTTTATAAATAGACTAAAAATTAGAAAATAATATGTTTTGATAACATTTTATTTTGAAACTAATAATAAGTAATCAAAACAAATTCTATGGGACTGAGATATAATATTTTCTAATTTTTAGTCCATTTATAAAAGCGTGATATATTAAAAAAAATTGTTTGTATTTTATTTATTTTCTGCTAAAGAGATAGAGTATATTCGATTAATAATGTCCACGACTTAGCTTTCCCTGATTCCATATATACACATTTGTTGTTGCCTTTTTTTGCGTTTTTAAGATATTTTTTTTTGTCTTTTCTACCTTTAATTCTAAAGGGCAAGGAAAAAGCCCTTATTCCTGATAATATGAATGTTTCAAATGTTCCATATTTAAATTTTGCGTCACTTATATCAACTCACGTCGAGCGCACGTTTAGTACATTTAAGGCTTTTTTCGCGAAAATGTAATGAAAATGCTGCCAGAAAACTTCAAAATGCATCTTGTGGTTCAATGTTACAACAACTACAGAGATTAAAGTTTTGTCAGTTAAAAACTCGAAAGCCGAAGATTCAAAGAACAAATTTTTCATATAATGAAACTAGTTTTTCTCTTTTTACTTGTAAAATAAACATTTCTAAAATAAATGTATTTTTGGATTATTTTTCGGTTTTTGCCTTTTTAGTGCCTTCTTTTGCGATTTCTAGGGCCTTTTCCTGCTTATTTCGCTATTTTATATTGTCTTTTCTAGCCTATTTCGTTATTAGCAAGTAAGCATTTGTCTGGGACCATCAATATTGTGTTTGTTGTTTTTTTTTTTGTTTACATGCCCGAGTACATATTTTCGTTTCCGTATTACACGGAACAAAGTCTAACATCTTCTTACATAGCGCTGTTGCTGTGGTGCTGCAATCAACTACGGAGCACTTTGAAATCGTGTTGATTTTTTTGGGGAAACAGCTTAGTTCAAATTTGTTGACGCAATTTATATGCATCGGAAGTAATTTTGTTTACCATTGTTTCCTGTATAAGTTTAAAAAATAAACGGTTTTGTGCATATTTTGCAACAATGTTTTCGTAAAATGTGCAAGTCATACGATGCGGCGAGAAATAATTGAAAAAGGGCATCAAAGGCACATGTGTGAACAACATCAATGTTTTCCTTGTTGAACTTAACCGCACGCAAGCTTTTACCGCTTCCATTTCTTATAATAGGGAGTTTTGTAAGGACTGCCTTTTCTTCCAATTTTCTTAATGGAAACGTGTCTTGCAAGTACAAGTTACGCTTTGCTTTCTCGTGATGCTTTTTAGGCATTGAGTTTGCCAATTTTCTTGAATCCTCGACTGCAGAATATGATCAATATTTTAACTTTGAACGCATTTTTTACATATTCGCACTTGCCCCAATCCTTCTTCAGCGCCATACGGTTCAGAACATTGACTGAGTGCATGAACTGCCATCTTGCAAACCTGCAAAATATATACGACATAATTTTGAGGCGCTTTAATTGTGGCCATTTTGATTGCTTGTCTATTTTTATTGCATGGTCGTGTACAGAACAGGAGAACATGAACACGAAAATGCAATAACACTTATGAAAAAAAATTCATGTTTGAAAAAAGGTAGAATAAAACTTACGATACACTTATGGGCACCATCTGGACGATGTTCGTCTTTGCAGGTGGGACAGTCGATTGTAGAGGTAGCATTAGTGTTGGTGCTTGATATCGGCTCCCTAAAAGGCTCTTTAAAAATGGAGCTGAGCGAAGTTTCGAGACTTATCGATTTATCAATCAAACCGTAGCATCCATCGCATATCAGCTCGTCGCCATCACGTTCGGGCATCCCTCCACACACCTTATTATTCAAAGCTTGATTAATTATTTCAGCAAGTCACATACTAATATATATATGAGGCATTCCTTCTGAACGTCCTCCTAAAAAATATGTAAAATACATAAAAAAAAAGTATCAAGGTTTCCAACGCCGGCTGCCATATTGACCTTGTAAAAATGGAAGTTATCAGCTAAAAAATAATGATGACCTTAAATATTGCCTACAAGGTCAATATGCAACTCGGCACTAGAAAGCTTAATTCTAGTTATGAGTTTTACATATTTTTTTTTATTTATTAAGTTAAAAGAAAAGTGTCAAGGGGCATGGTGGAATTATACCAACTGAAGTAATAAGGGCTAGAAGAAAAATCTGGCATTAACTTATTTGAAAATGTGCCATTAAAATGTGTCATAAGATAGCCGAATAACAGAAAATAAAGCGAGAAAGCTGTTTTATTACTTCATCTGATTATTGCGCCATGGTTAGGGAGTGATGTTCCG